ATAGTCTCATCAAATATAAGAAGGTTGAAATCATACCAATCACATTCTCTGATCATAATGCTTTGAAACTAGAGATCAACTGCAGAAAGAAATGAGGAAGAACCACAAATACATGGAATTAAACAACATGCTACTGAAGAATAACTGGGTCAGGGAAGAAATAAAAAGAGAGATCAAGAGATACATAGAAACGAATGATAACGATAGTACAACATACCAAAACTTTTAGGGCATGGCAAAAGTGGTCATAAGGGTAAAGTTCATATCATTACAGGCCTACCTCCAAAAACAAAAACAAACCCAAATAAACAACCTAACGCTTCATCTTCAAAACCTAGAAAAGGAAGAACAAATGAAGGCTAAAGTCAGCAGAAGGAAAGAAATAATCAAAATTAGATCTGAAATATATAAAATTGAAAAAAAAATAGAAAAAATAAATACAACAAAGAGCTGGTTCTTTGAGAAGTTTAATAAAATCAACAACTCCTAGCAAGACTCACTAAAGAAAAAAGAGAAAGGACACAAATAAACAAAATCAGGGATAAAAAAGAGGAAATTATGACTGACATCACAGAAACACAAAGAATCATAGAAGAATACTATAAAAAAGTATACAACACCAAATTTAATAACCTAGAGGAAATGGACCAGTACTTAAAAAGATACAACCTTCCTAGACTGAATCAAGAAGAACTGGAAAATCTAAATAGACTGATCAGCAGTATGGAAATTGAAACAACTATCAAAAACCTACCAAAAAGTAAAATTCCAAGACCACTTGGCTTCACCAGTGAATTCTAATAACATTCGAAGAGGATTTAATACTGATTCTCCTCAAACTCTTCCAAAAAATCAAAGAGGAGGCAATATCTCCCAACTCATATTATGAGGCCAGTATCAACCTGATGCCAAAACCTGATAAAGATAACATAGAAAAAGAAAACTACAGACCAAGATCTCTCATGAACATAGATGCAAAAAAATCCTAAATAAGATACTAGCGAACCAAATACAGCAACATAGTAAAAAGATTATACACCACAATCAAGTGGGCTTCATCCCAGAGGCACAGTGATGATTCAACATATGCCAATCGATTAATGTGATAAACCACATAAATTAAAAAATAAGAATCATATGATCATATCAATAGATGCAGTAAAAGCCTTCAACAAGATATAGCATCCATTTATAATCAAAACATTTAACAATATCGGTATAGAAGGAAAGTTCCTTAACATAATAAAGGCCATATATGACAAACCTTCAGCCAACATTATACTTAATGGTGAAACACTAAAAATCTTCCCTCTAAGATCAGGAACAAGGCAAGGCTGTCCAATATCACCACTGTTATTCAATATAACATTGGAGGTCCTAGTGAGTGCAATCAGGCAAGAGAAAGATATAAAAGGCATCCAAATAGGAAACAAAGAAGTCAAACCGTCACTATTTGCAGATGATATGATTCTCTATAGAGAAAATCCTAAAGACTTCACAAGAACACTACTAGAAACAATAAGCAAATACAGTAAGGTCTCTGGATACAAAATCAACGTTCAAAAATCCATAGCGTTCCTAGATTCTAATAATGAAGTGTCAGAAAAAGAAGTGGAAAAAATAATTCCTTTTGCAATTGCAACAAAAAGAATAAAATACCTAGGAATACATCTAACGAAACATGTGAAGTTCCTATATAATGAAAACTATAAGACCCTATTAAAAGAAATTGAAGAAGATACAAAGAAATGGAAAGATATTCCATGTTCTTGGATTGGAAGAATCAACATAGTTAAAATGACGATATTACCTAAAGCATTATAGAGATTTAATGCAATCCCCATCAAAATCCCATTGGCATTTTTTAAAAAATAGAACAAAAAAATCATCAAATTTGTATGGAAGCACAAAAGACCCCGAATTGCCAAAGCCATCCTGAGGGAAAAAACGAGGCTGGAGGCATCACTCTGACCAGCTTCAAATTATACTACAAAGCGACAGTAATCAAAATGGCATGGTATTGGCAGAAAAACG